TTGTCATAAAAATAAAGGGAAGGGTAACCACCTTTGTGTCCACAGTGCTATAAAATCCCTCCTGGCCAGAGGCAAAACCCTTCCACCTGTAAAAGAAGAAGCTTTAAGAAGCTAAGATAACCTCGCTGGCACCTGACCAAAATGACCAATTAGGAGACAAGATACTTTCAAAGCTGGAGGAGGGAGAAACAAAGGGTCTGTCTGTCTGTGTGATGCTTTTGCCGGGAACAGATCAGGAATGCAGTCTCAGAACTTCTGTTAGTTAGTTAGTAAGTAATCTAGCTAGAAATGCGTTAGATTTCCTTTTGTTTAATGGCTGGTAAAATAAGCCGTGCTGGAGGGAATGTGTATTCCTGTTTTTGTGTCTTTTTGTGACTTAAGGTTTTGCCTAGAGGGAATCTCTATGTTTTGAATATGATTACCCTTAAGGTATTTACCATCCTGATTTTACAGGGGTGATTCTTTTACCTTTTCTTTAATTAAAATTCTTCTTTTAGGAACCTGATTGATTTTTCATTGTTCTTAAGATCGAAGGGTTTGGGTCTGTGTTCACCTGTACAAATTGGCGGGGATTTTTATCAAGCCTTCCCAGGAAAGGGGGTGTAGGGTTTGGGGGGTATTTTGGGGAAGACGTCTCCAAGTGGAATCTTTCCCTGTTCTTTGTTTAACACGCTTGGTGGTGGCAGCATAGGGTTCAAGGACAAGGCAAAGTTTGTACCTTGAGGAAGTTTTTAACCTAAGCTGGTAAGAATAAGCTTAGGGGGTCTTTCATGCAGGTCCCCACATCTGTACCCTAGAGTTCAGAGTGGGGAAGGAACCTTGACAAAAGTACACAGGGAAACTGAGGCAGACATCAGCATCATAAAACTATCACCCCAATTCCCACTGGGTCACACCTGCCTAGCTGACCACCAGGGTAAGACAAGCAGGCGTGAAGATTGTTATTTTTAAATCCTTTTTTCTCTTACCCTTGATTTCTACTGCAAAATAGACATGACTTTGGCGTGAAGAAAGCTGATTTGTTACTGTACACAAATGATTGCAGACTGACGAAGGTGTCTGCACTCAGGCTGGATTCATCTGTCGGGTATTGTAGCCCAGGGCCTGGCCTAGGAACAGGAGACTTGCAGAAATTCCACTCCAGGAGAGAGAAAGGCACAAGGCCTGACTGGGGTGGGGGTCTCAAAGAGCTGAGGAAGGGGATGGAGATTCAGCTAGCCCTGTCACTCACTAATACACCCACACCCCTTCCTCCCAGCCCTCTCCATCTCCTGGGACCCCGCAAGCAGTCACTCCTTATATTGGCTCCTCCTTTCCCATGTCTTGCAGCCCTGCTCACTACCAGTTATCCCAAATTTCCTGCTCACCAACCATAGGCACTGACTTCTATTTTTCCCGGTGGGTGCTCCACCCCAAAGCCCCCCGCAACACACTTCTCCTGGGGCCCCGCCCATACCCCACCTCTTCCCACCTTGCTCCACTCCCTCCCCCAGCCCCCTTCCCTGCCTGTCCTTCATTTGCTCCTCTCAGCCTCCTCCCCCAAGGTCCCCCTGCCCCCCACTGGCTCCTCTCCGCCCTCCCTGGAGCACCTCCCGTCAGCTGCCGAATAGCTGATCTGGGGCCAGCCCTGGGGCCACCCCACAGCTGTGCCTGGCATGTGCTGAGCCCCCCCCCCCATTTTTTTTCCATGGGTGCTCAAGCCCCAGAGTCTATGTCCCCAACCATTTTGCATCCCACTCTCCCAAGCAGTCCTTGCTCCCACCTCCCACCCACAGGGCCAAAAAGTGCCCCTTGTCTCCCCTCCTGCATTACTAGCACCCCCATTTCCTGGAGCACCCACCCTGGCCTTTACTTCCACCACCACCAGCACACCTTGGTCTCCCCCTGCCCCCTCCACCACCACGTGCAATTCAAACTGGAGACTGGGAAGCAAAAACACTGAAACAAGCATTAAAAATAAAACTTTACTAGAAACTCATTCTTGCTAAGGTGTTAAAAATAAAAACCTGATATTGCCTTCTCTGTCAGTGGGGTGCTCTGTCCCAGCCCCACTGTGAAGACAGCCACCTGCAAACAGTGAACTGTACGGGGTGGGAAGCTGAAATGGAGTCCATTTTAGCTCAGTGGAGTCCCTGGGTGACAAAACCATTTCTCTGAAATACAGCTGAGGGGTCCAGCAATAGGAGGGGGGTTTCTGCAGAGTTCCTTGTGAGTCCCTCATAGTTTATGTGTTTGTATGTAGCCATAAAAGCCTGTATTCAAAGCCAGCGGGAGGCCATAAGGCATGCAGATATTAACATGGTATCCTGCTGATTCCCGCACAAATTTTTCCCCAGTCCCAAGTGCTGCAAACTTTTCCCGTATCAGGCACTCAAGACATAGAGTCACATTTCCCAGAAAGGTATATTTGCCAGGGTGTCCTCAGTAGTGGATCAGCCCACTTCCCATACAGATGTGCTGTTCAGTCACAATAAATTGGCATACTTTGATGGCATACATAGCTGGCTTGCCACCAAAGACATGGAATAAAATCTCTCTTTGCCATTCAGGAACCACAAGAACTGTTGTGTCGTCTGTGACGAAGTGGGACTGTTTTGGAGTACTGTAGCCAGACAGCCAGCCCCCCCCCCTCCCCCCCCCAGACCAGCATTGCTGGAAACACAGGAGGAAGCCGGAACAGGGCACTTAACATATATTCCAGCACAGCCTTTGAAGCTGTGAAAAGCACAGGTGTGCTGCTACAATGTGCCTCTGGGAACAGATACAACGATTAAGCTCACAGCAGGCAGAGGCCCTGTGACAGACATGGCTCTTAGCCCCTACTAAATAGCGTGATGCACACACACCAACATCCTAGGTGGGAAAATATTTACCCTGATAAAAGAAATGTCCAGTAGTCGAAACTTACTGTTTCTCTCCCTTGCAAGTGTAAACTACTCTTGCGAAAGCTGGCATCACCCAGACAGACCAGCCTCAATTTGGCATAAGAAAGGAGAAAGAGAATAAAGGAGTACAGAGGTATAAGTAGGGGACCTACAGCACCATGATTTTTGAGTGCTTTTCACTATCTATCTGCTGGTCAGATAAGTGACAGCCTCCCAAGGCTTCTGCAGCTAAGAGGGTCCCTACGCCTTGTCCCTTATTCGTCTTTCCGCGGAATTGAGTGACCGATCCTGGCTTGGCACCGCTGGAATCGAGAGATGCAAGGAGGGTAAGAAGCACCCACATCTGATCTCCTATCTTTAGTGTACACATATTTTGAAATAGAGCTCTATACTTTGTTTTCTTTCTTTGGGATTGTGGCTTCAGTTTTGTAACTTGTTTGTGTGTGTGTAACATCTCTACATTTAAATAAGTAGGCACTAGCAATTTTGTAACCACATGATTAGAATCTAGCTTAATAAATGTTGGTAACCATTTGTGCATAAGCCTGACTTGTTTTCTCTGGTTTACTGTACAGCAGCCAACACAATTAAAGAACCTCAGCCGTTTTGGCTCTAAAGCCTGGCCATTAGGTGAGAGTACTAAGAGCCTAGCGTTGAGTTGTGCCGCCTCCACGGGGCAAACTCTTGGGGCACCTGTCAGTCAATCCTGGCTGCCCGCTGCGAAGGAGCTCTGAGCTCTAGCAGTTAAAGTCACGGGTGGTTAGGACCTTGGGGCATCCGTCAGCCTAGCCCGGGCTGCCCGCTGCAAAGGGACAGTGCGTCCTAGCGGTTAAAGTCACGGATGGTATAAACGGGCATAGCTGGCACCTCACCAAACATCCTTGGCCATCGGCTAACAAAAAAAAAAAAGAAAAAAAAAGAAAAAAAAAGAGAAAAAAAAAAAAAAAAAAAAGAAAGGGGAAAAAAAAAAAAGAAGAGAGAGGGGGAGGGGGGAGGGTAGAGGAGAAAAAAAAAAAAAAAAGGAGGAGAGAAGAGAGAAAAAAAGGAAAGGAAGGGAGAGGAGAAGAGGGGAGAAGAGAAGAGAAGAGAGGGAGGAGAAGAGGAGGAGGAGGAGGAGGGGGGGGGGGGGGGGGAGAAGAGAAAAAAAATAAGAAAAAAGGAGGAGGAGGGGGGGAAGGGAAGGGGGGAGGGGGGAGAGGACCTGGTTGGGTGGGGGGGGAGGGAGGAGGGGGGGGAGGGGGGGGATGGGGGGGTGGGGGGGGGGGGGGGTTGGAGTAATTGTTTACTTTTCTTTTTTTTTATTTTTTTTTTTTTTTTTTTTTTTTTTTTTGTTTTTTGTGGGTGTGTTGTTTTTTTTTTTTATATGGAGGGGGGGGGAGGGGGGGGGGGGGGGAGGGGGGGGGGGGGGGGGGGGGGGGGGGGGGGGGGGGAGAGGGGCGGGGGGGGGGGGGGGGGGGGGGGGGGGAAGGGGAGGGGGGGGGGGGGGGGGGGGGGGGGGGGGGAGGGGGGGGGGGGGGGGGGGGGGGGGGGGGGGGGGGGGGGGGGGGGGGGGGGGGGGGGGGGGGGGGGGGGGGGCCCCCCCCAAAAGGGGGGGGGGGGGGGGGGGCTCCCCCCCCCCCCCAGCCCGTTCCGCCCCCCCCGCCCCAAAACCCCCGGGGGGGGGGGGGGGGGGGGGGGGGGGGGGGGGGGGGGGGGGGGGGGGGGGGCCCCCCCCCGGGCCCCGCGGGGGGGGGGGGGGGGGGGGGGGGGGGGGGGGGGGGGGGGGGGGGGGGGGGCGCGGGGGGGGGGGGGGGGGGGGGAGGGGGGGGGGGGGGGGGGCCGCCGGCAGGCGGCCCGCAAGGAGGGGGGGGGGGGGGCCCCCCCGGGGGGGGGGGGGGGGGGGGGGGGGGGGCGCGGGGGGGGGGGGGGGGGGCAGGGGGGGGGGGGGGGGGGGGGGCCCCCCGCGGGGGGGGGGGGGTGGTGGGGGGGGGGGGGGGGGGGGAACGAAGGGGGGGGGGGGGGGGGGGGGGGGGGGGGGGGAGGCCGGGGGGGGGGGGGGGGGGGGGGGGGGGCACCCCCGGGGGGGGGGGCCCGCGGGAAGGACCCTGCAGTAATGGGGTCCCCCTGGGGACTGTGGTGAGCAGTCTCAGGGGTGGAGGAGCCTGTGGCTTGGCCCTGGGAGAGAGAAGGACTTTTGCAGTAACAGGGTTCCTCTGGGGATTGCAGCAAGCTGTCCCAGCGGCGGAGGAGTCTGCAGCTCGACCCTGGCAAAGAGGAGGTGACCGCGAGAAGGGCTGGCACACTAGGGGTTCTCCCTGGAAACCGTGGGGAGCTGAGAGCACACAGGCCTGTGAGTCCACAGCAACTTGGGAAGGGCGGAGTGATGGCCTGTCACCGTCTCCTTAAGAAGGACATTGTAACCCTGTGCAGAAAGCGAGGGTTACACGTTGGAAAGTTCACCAAAGTACAGTTAATTGTGCAGCTGGAGGAGGATGACCGCTCTAAGGAACAGATTCCTGACCCCAAATGGGGCTATAGCAGGATCTGGGAGCAGCTGGAGTGGTAGCCAGGCACCCCAAGACTCCTGTCCCCGCCCAGACGAGGGTCTTCCCGATCGGGTTCCCCATCAGGGGAATGGACGGGATGGGAGCTGAGTCCGAGAGAGCCCAGAAAGAGCTGCAGAAGCAGCAGCAGCATGAACTGGTGGTGGTGGAGCGGAGAGGCCTAGGGGACCTCCCAGGGGTGAGTGGGGATAGACCCCGGGGGGCCAGTTCCGCAGGGAACCTCAAGACTAAATTGCTGCCCCTGGTTAAGGAGGGGGGGATGTGGATGCCACCCCACTGCCTTTGAGCAGGCTCGAGATTTGAACGAAGGGGGACTCTGCAGAAAAGCCTCGGTGTCTAGCTCCCTTGCTGGGTCCCAAGGCCGTAGATTCCGTCAGCCAGATGGGTGGGGAAGTGGACAGGCTCCCACTCCTGACCCCAACCTATATGTCTGTGTGGAGTCTCCTGGGGCCAGGCCCCTTGGACCCCCAGTGGGAGCGGAAGGTGATGGTCAATGGGGAGACATTCCTGGGGTGGCGAGATGCTGGGACAGAGAGAACTATTGTCAGGCCCCGGATGGTGCAGCCCAACCAGATGCTGAGGGGCTGTGTGAGCTGGGTGAAGGTCCCAGGGACGAAGCCCCTTGCCCTGCCTATGGCCCAGATCCCTGTGCGGACACAGAAGGGGTCGGGCTGGCTAGTCGTTGGGGTTCTCCAGGATATCGGCTGTGAGACCCTGTTGGGGAGTGACTGTGTCTCTTTGGGACAGGATCCAGGCCCTGCTCCTGTAACGGCCAGGGGTTTGAATTTGAATCCAGGGAACCAATTGGCTAAGACGGAAATTGTCAGTGAAAATGCAAATGACCTGGCTGGCAGGAGGGAGGAGCTGCTAAGCTCAGGATACCTGCCTACCTGTAACCAGACTCGTGGGGCTGGGTGGGACAGAGAGATGCTCCCCACCCCCTTGCACACTGAGATGAGGCTCCTGCTGGCTCTGATGCTGTAAGGAGAGCAGAGAGCTCACTGCCTGCCCCCACTGGAACAGCAAGGGCAGCGCTGAGCAAGGGGGAAGATAAGACCCCAGATGAATGGGGGGACCCACAGGCAGGGCAGGTCAGCTGCCAACCGGGTTTGCCTTGTCCAGAGGTGCTGCTGGGAAGTGAGTCCACGGCAAGGATGGAGCTACCAGGGACAGGGCTCAGCGGGGCTGTGACCCCAGGCCCAGCCAGCGAGAGGGAAGACTGGGTAGCTGAGTCTGCAGAGCAGAACAGCTGGGTAGTTAATCTCTCGAGGATGGCAGGTCTACTCTCATCTCTAGACACTTTGGATATGACGTGTAGTCTCTCAGTGAATTTAACATCTAGTTCCTTTTGGAAGCAGAGGTTGGTAAGGGAAGGACAACAGAACTTTGAGAGCACACCTTGTAAAAGGGAACCTGAGAAGGGTAGCTGCGATTTGCTGGAAGTAGCTCAGGGTAGTGAGAAGAAGCAGCAGTTTATCTGTTGGGAGTGGCAAGGTGCTTGGTAAGGAAAGTTTGGATGAGCCTAGGCAGCCTTGTGAGCTGATGGCTGTGTCTAGTCAGCAGGGTGGGAAGGCGAGGAGAGTGGCAGATGAGTGTCCCTGGACCTTACCTGTTAGCTGGGTGGAGAATTGGGACAGTGAAGGAAACGTGCCTGTGACTGTCAGGGGTATTGACTTGCCTGTGGAGGGAGCTACCCTGATCTCCAAGCACTTGTCTGTGAACAGCCTTGTGTGCTGGGACCAGCGGAATGAGATCCCAAGCTGTGTGTCTGGGAAAGGAGAATGTGTCTCCGGCTCTGCTTTGTCTGTGGAGCAGACAGAAGGGGCCTTTCAGCCTGTGATGGTTGAGAATAGTGCAGTTGTCTCAGAGTTGGTTCTGGATTCAACTAAAGCCTAGGAAGGGAAGGGTCCTAAGTTTGTGTCTGCTCGGGAGAATGGCCCTGTAACTAGGTTGCATTCAGTTAGTGTCCTAGCAAAATCCCAGAGACCAGATAATTCTGGTGCTTGTATTTTGCCTGTTGCTAGTGTGTTGCTGGGAAAGGGTGTAGCAACTCTGTCTAATCAGGGTGAGATCCTAGCCAGGGCACAAGGAGAGCAGAAAGGTGATTTGATTGTGTTACCTACTGAGGGTGTGGAAACCTGTCGCAAGAAGGAAAAGATTCCTGAACTTGTGTGTGGCAAAGGGAAGGCGAATGCTTCTAGCCTTTTATCTAGGAAGTCTGTAAGTTTGCCTGAAAGGGGATTGTGTAGGAATCCACCTGATAGGCCAGAGGTAATTCTGGATGTAAGTGAGTCCCAGAAAGAGTCTGTTGTTGCTCAGGAAAGTGTTCCTCTAGAGCAAGCCCTAGGTGAAGAGGTTAAGGGCAGAATTTCTGTGAAGGGTGAATTGTTACGTAGAAAATCCCCTAGGGAAAGGAATCCCCATGGTAGTCTTTGCAAGCAGTTTACTGCAACTGAAGGGGAAGCCAGACGAGCTGGTCTGGACTGAGCAGTGCCAGAGGGCTCTCTGTGCGTTGAAGAAGGCTCTAATACAGGGCCCAGTAAATCTGGTAAACCCAGACTTTGCCAAGGCCTTTACAGTGTTCACCGACATCTCAGACACAGGGCGGGGTGTGGGGCTGATGCAAGCCAATGCTAGGGAATGGGAGAGATGCTGGGGCATGCATGGAAACGTTGGTGGGGTCGAACTTCCCCAGGTCACTGGCTAAAGTGACCTTACTCAGTTCGGTCTTGAAGGGGGGAGAGATGTGACGAAGTGGGACTGTTCTTAATGTTGTCTCTGAATATTGTGGGGGTGCCTCAGTTTCCCCTATGCAGTTCTTAAGTATCTAGGTGGTGGGATAAGGGTGTATGATCATTGCAGAGCCCTAAAGGGCAGGTGTGTGCAGGGGTCTGGACACAGAGAAGGGCCGACACCCTATTTCCTGACAACTGATGGCCTGGCCCTTCCCCCCTGCAAGGTGAGAGCTAAAGGGTTGGAGAACAAAGGAATCAGGTGACCTCCTGGCCCGGGAAAGGGACAAAGCCCAGAGGAGGAGGTGCTGGAGAGAGTTTCAGTTTGGCGCTGGCTGGGGACGAGGAGTGAAGTGCAGACGGAGTTGTCTGGCTCACTGCCCCCCAAAATGGACACAGCTGAGGGGTCCTGTTCTCTGAACCTACAAGCTCTGTTTTCGACCACATTCCTGTCGTCTAATAAACCTCTGTTTTAATGGCTAGCTGAGAGTCACACCTGACTGCAGAGTTGGGGGGCAGGACCCTCTGGCTTCCCCAGGACCCCACTTGGGCGGACTGGCTGTGGGAAGCGCACGGAGGGGCAGAGGATGCTGAATGCTCCGAGGTCAGACCCAGGAAGGTGGAAGCCGGGTGAGCTGTGTGTCCTGCAGACAGGCTGCTCCCAGAGAGGAGACTTCCCCAGAGTCCTGACTGGCTTCGTGGGGAGCAGTTCCAGAGCATCGCCTGGGGACTCCATGACATCCTCCAAAATGTACAATGCTTGAAATGATAGAGAATGCCTCTGGAGTAGGTCATGGCCATCCCCCTTCCCCCAGAGCCCCAAATGTTCTGCAATTTTAAGCAAAATTGTTATTTTAAAGTTACCATTCTCTGTATGTTCTTTTCATTGCAATTAACCCAGTAGTGTCCATGGAGTTTCTGGGATCTGCAGCATTCCTCTCACACTATACTGAAGGTCAGTTTTACAAAATATTCAATTCTTCTTTCAGATTCCACCAGTATTTTTTTTTTCTGAGCTTTTGCACTGAGCCGTTTTGGAATCACTGAGACAATAATGTTTTGTTTTATGTCTGCTTGCAAGCAGTTCGACCTGTCCTGTCTGTCATACGTCAGCAGCTCGTGAACACTCCAGCAGAAACTTGGGTCTTTGTACCATCACAGACCTGTCCCAGAGGTAGTGTGTCCACAATGAACTTATGGTTGACATCCTGGAGAGGGCCAACAACCATGTGCAATACCAAAGAGGGAAGGATTCATGGCAAATGGAAAGGCACAGGCAGGCTTCAGCGCTGGCGGACAGGGTTCCAGCATGGGAGCAGATATAAGAACAGCCACACTGGGTCACACCAAAGGTCCATCTAGCCCAGTGTCCTGTCTTCCAACAGTGGCCAATGCCAGGTGCTTCAGAGGGAATGAACAGAACAGGTCATCATCAAGTGATTCATCCCCAGGTGCCCATTCCCAACTTCTAGCAAACAGACACTAGGGACACCGTCCCTGACAAATAGCCATTGACAGACCTATCCTCCATGGACTTATCTAGTTCTTTTTTGAACCCTGTTATAGTCTTGGCCTTCACAACATCCTCAGGCAAGGAGTTCCACAGGTTGACTGTGCATCGTGTGAAGAAGTACTTCCTTTTGTTTGTTTTAAACCTGCTGCCTATTCATTTCATTTGGTGACCCCTAGTTCTTGTGTTATGAGAGGAGTAAATAACACTTCCTTATTTACTTTCTCCACACCCGTCATGGTTTTGTAGACCTCTATCATATCCCTCTTTAGTCACCTCTTTTCCCAGCTGAAAACTCCCAGTCTTTTTAATCTCTCCTCATACAGAAGCTGTTCCATGCCCCTCATCATTTGTTGCCTTTTCCAATTCCAATACATCTTTTCTGAGATGGGGCAACCACATCTGCATACAGCATTCAAGACATGGGCATACCCTGGATTTATACAGAGGCAATGTGATATTTTATGTCTTACTATCTCTCCCTTTCCTAATGATTCCCAACAACTGCATTGCAGTTCTTGGAACAGGAACGCTGGTTGAGGGAGGAAGGCAGAGTGCAGCAAAAAGACCTGTCTGAGTGGCTGCTTTCATTAATCACCACAAGAGGGCAGGCTCCTACTACACCCCCACCATGGCCCGAGTCCCCTCCATGGTACCATGCAATGCATCTCAGGAACACTTTGGCCAACACCATGGTTGGGTGGCCCATGTAACCAGGACTTAAAAGTAGCTGGACAGGACAAATCTGACTCTTACATACTTTCCATGGCAACCCCCTGCCCCTTCTGGACCAGTAGGGCTGCTGTCATGTGTGCGCCATGATGCTGGAGGATCAAGCCAAGCTGCTCAAAAAGCTCCAAAAATTTATCTTTCTTCACAAAAAAGTTCTGCGCCCATCGCTGGTCACCCCAGGTCTGCATGACGATGTGATCCCACCAATGTGCTCCAGTGGCCTACGGAGGGGACAGCAGCAGCTACACCAAAAGCCATGGGTATCATAGAATATCAGGGTTGGAAGGGACCTCAGGAGGTCAACTAGTCCAACTCCCTGCTCAAAGCAGGACCAACCCCAACTAAATCGTCCAATTTTTTATTTTTTATTTTTTTTGGCCCCAGATCCCTAATGGCCCCCTCAAGGATTGAACTCACAACCCTGGGTTTAGCAGGCCAATGCTCAAACCACTGAGCTATCCCTCCCCCTGACCAAGGTAGCAGAGGATGGTTTCGATCCATCGACCTCTGGGTTATGGGCCCAGCACTCTTCCGCTGCGCCACTCTCCTATATGACAGGTTTAAATTGGTTAGTCTCTAAGGTGCCACAAGTACTCCTTTTCTTTCTCCTATATGAGTTGAGTATTTCATGTCCGTATCATCCTCCTCCTCCTGCACCATCATTAGCTCTATCAGGTGCGTTCAGTGGGTCAGAAAATGCTGCCAGAACGTCCACCAGCGTTTCCCAGAAGCTCTGCCCATTTTGTGAGACAGGAGCAAAAACCCAAGAGCAAGAGAATTTCTTCCAATGGCGAATCTTCCATTTTGTTGGTTCAGGACACTGGGAGCGTACAGACCACAAGGAGAGCTCATCAAGACGTGTCCATGGGATGCAACAACTTGCCATGACATGTGGAGAGGACAGTCACGTTTTCCCAACATTGCACCACAAACAATTTGGGAAGGCAGTAGGAAGCCTGGGATATGGTTGGTTGGAATCGGACCTGCAAACTGCTGAAGCCCAGATATTCAGTGTAGATGCTCGAGCCTGGGGTTCCAAACACAGGGTTGGCAGACCCAAGGCCCCACTAAACCTGGGATTAGTTGCAGTGTAGACATACCCTAAGGCTCTGTGAAAAGACAGGGTATTTCCACCAATCTCCACTCAAACTAACTGGGTGACTCAAGAGGACACGCGGTCGCCACTGCACCAAAGATACGTCATGTATTTGAGTGAGTGCCCTACCCCTGATAGCTTTCTGACAATGTGTGTTCTGCATTTTGCTTGCATTCTCCAGAAGTTCCTCTTGGGAGTTTTGCCCAGGTGTGAAGAATCACACCTTTAACCAAAAAAATTTTTAAAAGCAAAATCTCGTGTGTAGGCAGTTAATTAACTTCTTTAATACAGAGTTAAGGTTGCCAAGTGCTGTTGTGCACCCTTCGAGAACATGGACAGTGACTAAACTTAGAGCTCTGAAAACCAGGAAATTAAGCGTAAAAATTCATATCACCCCTGCAACACAACCTTGACTCTATCCACCACCTTAACTCTACCCCCAACCCCTAACTCTGGAGCTGGCATTAGCCACTGACTGTGGTGCAGTAAGGGTGGTACAAAGGTTAATAAACTACCAAGGAAATGAGGGATTCTCCTTCTCTTGGAGTCTTCAAGTCAGGACTGAAAGATGATTTAGTCAAACACAAGGTATTCAGCTCAATACAGCAGTAACGGGTTGAAATTCAATGGTCTGTTTGATACAGGAGACCAGACTAGATGACCTAATCATCCCTTCTGGCCTTAAAATCTATTCATCTACAATAGATATGAGGAAGGACTAAGAACATGCCATTGTTTGTGTTGTGTTCTACAGACTGGAGTATCAGCATTTCTCTGCATGCCCTCCAGCTGTGTGCATTGGGTCAGCTGTAGCTGTCACTGGATGATGGAGGGATTAGTTGGAACAGCTTGGCAGAGCTGGGACTGTGAGATAAAGGGAGGTGCACATGAACCTTGACAGAGCAAGCATGCCTCATTTCAGTGCTGAGTGTTGAAGGATGCAACAATAAATGTGTACGGGGTGGGTACTTTCCATGAGCGTTGTCGGCACTCCGGTAGCATACATACTCAGTGGTCTCCAAGGCTTAGAGAGGGGTAAGTGAAGGTAATGACTCAGAAGGAATCCTTGGGGGAGGGCAAAGGCGTGGTAATATTCTGAAAATCTGTGATGGTTTGTGTGGTGTAGGCTCAATCTCTGAGTGCAGGCCAGGGACTGGAAGATTGTTTGCTATGCCAGACCTAAATCAAAGTTTTGCCTTAGCAAAGAGAAGTTGTCAGACTTTATGCTGTACTGCTCCTGTGCCCTGTTCCCAGAGCGTTGTGTAACAACAGAGAGCAGAGGGCTAGTGCGTGTGTCACTGGCATGCTGGGGTGATGCTGAAACAGGGCAGAGAAAAGGCTGCATTGTGGGGTGTTGTGAACCTTAACTCTTCTCATTTCCCCTTCTAAGAACTGAGGGGACTGGAGTACTGTCATGGATGGTTATAAACTGTTCAGGAAGGACAGGCAGGGCAGAAAAGGTGGGGGAGTAGCCCTGTATGTAAGGGAGCAGTATGACTGCTCAGAGCTCCGGTACGAAACTGTAGAAAAACCTGAGTGTCTCTGGATTAAGTTTAGAAGTGTGTGCAACAAGAGTGATGTAGTGGTGGGAGTCTGCTATAGACCACCGGACCAGGGGGATGAGGTGGATGAGGCTTTCTTCCGGCAGCTCGCGGAAGCTACTAGATCGCATGCCCTGGTTCTCATGGGTGACTTTAATTTTCCTGATATCTGCTGGGAGAGCAACACAGCGGTGCATAGACAATCCAGGAAGTTTTTGGAAAGCGTAGGGGACAATTTCCTGGTGCAAGTGCTAGAGGAGCCAACTAGGGGGGGCGCTTTTCTTGACCTGCTTTCTTGACCTAAATCTAAAACCGGGTAGATTTAGTGGGGGAAGCAAAAGTGGATGGGAATCTGGGAGGCAGTGACCATGAGTTGGTTGAGTTCAGGATCCTGACGCAGGGAAGAAAGGTAAGCAGCAGGATACGGACCCTGGACTTCAGGAAAGCAGACTTCGACTCCCTCAGGGAACGGATGGCCAGGATCCCCTGGGGGACTAACATGAAGGGGAAAGGAGTCCAGGAGAGCTGGCTGTATTTCAAGGAATCCCTGTTGAGGTTACAGGGACAAACCATCCCAATGAATCGAAAGAATAGTAAATATGGCAGACGACCAGCTTGGCTTAATGGTGAAATCCTAGCGGATCTTAAACATAAAAAAGAAGCTTACAAGAAGTGGAAGGTTGGACATATGACCAGGGAAGAGTATAAAAATATTGCTCGGGCATGTAGGAATCATATCAGGAGGGCCAAATCGCACCTGGAGCTGCAGCTAGCAAGAGATGTCAAGAGTAACAAGAAGGGTTTCTTCAGGTATGTTGGCAACAAGAAGAAAGCCAAGGAAAGTGTGGGCCCCTTACTGAATGAGGGAGGCAACCTAGTGACAGAGGATGTGGAAAAAGCTAATGTACTCAATGCTTTTTTTGCCTCTGTTTTCACTAACAAGGTCAGCTCCCAGACTGCTGCGCTGGGCATCACAAAATGGGGAAGAGATGGCCAGCCCTCTGTGGAGATAGAGGTGGTTAGGGACTATTTAGAAAAGCTGGACGTGCACAAGTCCATGGGGCCGGACGAGTTGCATCCGAGAGTGCTGAAGGAATTGGCGGCTGTAATTGCAGAGCCATTGGCCATTATCTTTGAAAACTCGTGGCGAACCGGGGAAGTCCCGGATGACTGGAAAAAGGCTAATGTAGTGCCAATCTTTAAAAAAGGGAAGAAGGAGGATCCTGGGAACTACAGGCCAGTCAGCCTCACCTCAGTCCCTGGAAAAATCATGGAGCAGGTCCTCAAAGAATCAATCCTGAAGCACTTGCATGAGAGGAAAGTGATCAGGAACAGCCAGCATGGATTCACCAAGGGAAGGTCATGCCTGACTAATCTAATCGCCTTTTATGATGAGATTACTGGTTCTGTGGATGAAGGGAAAGCAGTGGATGTATTGTTTCTTGACTTTAGCAAAGCTTTTGACACGGTCTCCCACAGTATCCTTGTCAGCAAGTTAAGGAAGTATGGGCTGGATGAATGCACTATAAGGTGGGTAGAAAGCTGGCTAGATTGTCGGGCTCAACGGGTAGTGATCAATGGCTCCATGTCTAGTTGGCAGCCGGTATCAAGTGGAGTGCCCCAAGGGTCGGTCCTGGGGCCGGTTTTGTTCAATATCTTCATAAATGATCTGGAGGATGGTGTGGATTGCACTCTCAGCAAATTTGCGGATGACGCTAAACTGGGAGGAGTGGTAGATACGCTGGAGGGGAGGGATAGGATACAGAAGGACCTAGACAAATTGGAGAATTGGGCCAAAAGAAATCTGATGAGGTTCAATAAGGATAAGTGCAGGGTCCTGCACTTAGGATGGAAGAATCCAATGCACCGCTACAGACTAGGGACCGAATGGCTAGGCAGCAGTTCTGCGGAAAAGGACCTAGGGGTGACAGTGGACGAGAAGCTGGATATGAGTCAGCAGTGTGCCCTTGTTGCCAAGAAGGCCAATGGCATTTTGGGATGTATAAGTAGGGGCATAGCCAGCAGATCGAGGGACGTGATCGTTCCCCTCTATTCAACATTGGTGAGGCCTCATCTGGAGTACTGTGTCCAGTTTTGGGCCCCACACTTCAAGAAGGATGTGGATAAATTGGAGAGAGTCCAGCGAAGGGCAACAAAAATGATTAGGGGTCTAGAACACATGACTTATGAGGAGAGGCTGAGGGAGCTGGGATTGTTTAGCCTGCAGAAGAGAAGAATGAGGGGGGATTTGATAGCTGCTTTCAACTACCTGAAAGGGGGTTCCAAAGAGGATGGCTCTAGACTGTTCTCAATGGTAGCAGATGACAGAACGAGGAGTAATGGTCTCAAGTTGCAGTGGGGGAGGTTTAGATTGGATATTAGGAAAAACTTTTTCACTAAGAGGGTGGTGAAACACTGGAATGCGTTACCTAGGGAGGTGGTAGAATCTCCTTCCTTAGAGGTTTTTAAGGTCAGGCTTGACAAAGCCCTGGCTGGGATGATTTAACTGGGAATTGGTCCTGCTTCGAGCAGGGGGTTGGACTAGATGACCTTCTGGGGTCCCTTCCAACCCTGATATTCTATGATTCTATGAATCCTTACCCAGCGAGGTCACATTCTGATGGTTCTCCTGCATGACGTCTCTGCAGAGGGCTCTCTGAGCGGGGTCCAGCAGAGCCCACTCTTCCCTGGTGAAATACACAGCCACCTCCTCGAAGGTCACCGGCCCCTGAAAGAGCAAGAGTCCCACACTCAGGACCTGCTGCCCCACTCACAGCCCCACTATTCATAAGTAGCAGGGTCAATCAAATGGATACAGAGTCAGCAGAGCCCCACCCACAACCCGCTCAGAGCACCCAGGAAGCATAGAGATAGAGCAAGCCCCTCATCCTTCCCAGCAGATAAAGGGAGCAAGGTCTTCACTTTCATCAGACATGGACTTACCAGAGGCTGATACAAGAGATGGAGCCCCAAGCAGGGTCCAGGGACGTTCCCGGATAGGAAGCCCAACACCTTCCCCATTTCCAGCAGCTAGATGTCAGGGGATGGGGCATCTCCCCTAAGTCCCTCTGCTGGGTGTCCCCTTCATGTCATAACAACCTCTGGTTAGTGGGTTCACCCTCCAGCACTGATAGTCTGGGAAGTTTTGCCAGCCCAGGCCAGTTTGTTTCCTCTTCCACAAATAGGGGAATTTCCACACCCAACCCCCATGCCTCTATTCCTAGAATCGAGACCCCAGATTTATCAAGTCCCAGCAGGTTCATCGCACCTTGTCCCCCTCCCTTTCTCCACCCTGTGCACTTCCTGCACCCTCCCACCCTTAGATCAAACTCCCACTTCCTGTGTATTCACTGTCCCTCTGGCTCCTGCAGGAACCCCCCAGCATCCCTACCTGAGCCAGCTCTGCCATGCCCATTTCCCTTTGCCGGGCAGGCTGGGAGAATCTGGAGTGACCCAGGGATGTTATTCTGCAGCCTGTCAGGGGGAGAAGGGTTATTGGGGGGGATTTCAGAACAGACTTTAGGTCATTTCACGTCACGAGTCTCACTGGCCCTTTCTCTGCAGACTCTCACGCTGGGAAAGCACTCTGTCACTGCAGCGCAGACCCATCCCCTCCCACCAGGACTAAACCCTCTGAGACCCTTTAAACCTGACATGGTTCCAAAGGATGGCACATTCCCCCAGCAGAGGGGGAACTCCACAGAGCTAGGGACCAGGCCAAATCTGTCCAGTGCTGAGACAGGAACTGGATCTGAGCAGGTTTCAGAGTCCGTGGCCTCTCTCCCCACTTATTCCTCCTTGGTTTTTCTTTCCCCTCCTGACTCAGAGACTTGGTTATTGTCTATTCCTGGAGGCCTTCCCTATCCTGCAAGAACTAACGCCATTTCGGCTTGACACTCTGCCTCATCGCTATCGCTACTAAACACGGGTGGGGTGTCAGTCTCTCTGGCTGCGATACAGACAGAGCAGCGAAAGAGTTACTGTGCCCAGCTTCAGGCTGCCTAATATCTAAGCCCCTTCGTTTTCAGTTTAAACCGATTTTTCCAGAAAAATAAAGTATTATTCAGTTTTTTCTGATTGTCACCCTACTTTTGTATCTTTCAAATACACAAAAAATAACTTGTTTTGCTAGGAAAATACAATCCATTACGTGAGATAGATGCATTAGGAGAATACATTAGTCTGCGTGTATACACAAAGCTGCCAGTTGAAGAAAAGCTCTGTCTTAGTCTAGAAGACACACACAACAAACAAACAGGCATGCATGCAAGCACTGAAGTGCGCGCGCATCTGAACGTACTGATGAATCTATGTGCCCATCGTGTACACATTTCAAGCTGTTAGCAGATAATGGTTTAAAGATTTCACACACTAAAATGGGAAGAAAACGAAAATCTGTCTCAGAATATGTTTCAGAACACAAGGAAGTATTCAAAAGTTTTTAAAAAAACAAACCCAGGAGAAAAGGATGAAGCTGAGTGTATGCACTGCAAATGGTGTGGCCCAGTTATTAAATGTCAATCTTTATAGGCTAATAATTGTAAGTCTGCCCAGTAACCTGTTCATTCAAATGAAAAGTTCTATTTGGGGATTAGATTGTTTTCTTAAACTCAAAGGTAGCGTTATGTTTTGAGTTCTGTTTTAGTTCTGCAGCAAACCACATTGATGAAAGGAATTCAAAGCATTCATCTGCTGAATGCTTCCTCTCCCCCACATATCAAAATAAACCCCTAATATTTACCCAGGAAAAGTAATCGTTTTTTGCACTGATTCTCTCCTGTTCTCGTTGTTGGGGTAATAAACACTGATCAATTCCACAGAAAAATTAAATCAAATACAAACTGAAAAGAAAGGGCCCTACTAATATCACAGCTGGGATTCCGAATGATTAAGAATGTGGCTTGCATTGAGATCAATATTTCCCAGGGTTGGGCCATATCTGCTCCAGCTGCTAGCTGCTGAATTCAGATTTCCTTCATATAAAAAGTAACACTTTCTTCCCCTTCATAGCCAATATGGATACAAAATCATGAAGGATCCTGTGCAACGTTTCTCAGCTGGTGGGTTGCAACACCCAGAGCTTCATGACAAGCAGTCAGATGGGCCGTGAGATACTGACAGATTTACTATGATCTTAAGCAAAGAAAATCTCACTCCCCCACTTCCTGCACTTTTAGCCCTCAAGGACAAACTACTTTCTGGCAGCCTCTTGAAGTGCAGACATGCAAGTTGTACAGGGTCAGGCTTGACACGTGTTTTATTCTCACATCATTGTAAACGTCAGGAGATCCCGGGGAGGGATTTCAAATAAGGGGTCACTAAAGTGTGAGAAACGCCAACATGCCTACAGCAGCTCCATCTTTGTTCCAAACGAATATTCAAAGCCAGTCTGTATGCAGTAAACCAGCCTGTGATACTAGTGGCAAGATTGTTGGTCAGAGGAGTGCAGGGGGACCTGGGCCCCATTCCACCAGGTCCCAGCCCAGGGCCCTGTGCAGTTGAACCCCTAAACAGTGGAAATGGGTGTCCCTCCCAGCAGAGGGAGTCAAGATCAGATTTCCTGGGCTACTTCCTACTAAAGTCTCCACTGGCTGGCATGTCACTGATCTGGCCCTTCAGGCAGGCAAACTGAGCTCCTGCCTCTTCAACTGAGCCAGGCTCCCTTCTTTTCTCCCCCTCTCCAGGCCTGGCACTGGCTGCAGGGAAAGCGGGATGGGGCTAGCTGAACCCACAGGTTTTCTTTCACCCCTGCTGTGCCAGATGGCAGTTTCTCTGCTCCTTCGCACAGCCCCACGGCTCAGATAGAGTCAGTCCATACAGGGTACAGCTGGGCTCCACCCCTCCTCATGCCTGAGACTCTGCTGCCCACATCTGACCATTTTCAGTCACTCATGGAAGCTTTCAGGCTCCTCAGGGTCGGGATATTTTGTCCTTGTCCTATTTCACACCATTCAGGTTCTTGTTCCTTTCCCCAAAGGGAAACACACCCCTGAGATCTGGATTCACTGCGAATCCCCATCAGATGTCACAGCAGGAGTGACTCAGTCTCGGGGCTCCCCCTGCTTTACATTGTGCAGCTGGAAGCTGTGGAACATTGGGACTGGAGGCCGTGATGCCATGTCCCTAACCTGTTTATTGCTCTGAAATGTCCCCGTGGCCCATCATAGAATATCAGGGTTAGAAGGGACCTCAGGACGTCATCTAGTCCAACCCCCTGCTCAAAGCAGGGCCAATCCCCAATTAAATCATCCCAGCCAGGGCTTTGTCAAGCCTGACCTTAAAAACTTCTAAGGAAGGAGATTCCACCACCTCCCTCGGTAACGCATTCCAGTGTTTCACCACCCTCCTAGTGAAAAAGTTTTTCCTAATATCCAACCTAAACTTCCCCCACTGCAACTTGAGACCATTACTCCTTGTTCTGTCATCAGCTCCCACTGAGAACAGTCTAGATCCATCCTCTTTGGAACCCCCTTTCAGATAATTGAAAGCAGCTATAAAATTCCCCCCCATTCTTCTCTTCTGCAGACTAAACAAACCCAGTTCCCTCAGCCTCTCCTCATAAGTCATGTGTTCCAGTCCCCTAATCATTTTTGTTGCCCTCCACTGGACTCTTTCCAATTTATCCACATCCTTCTTGTAGTGTGGGGCCCAAAACTGGACACAGTACTCCAGATGAGGCCTCACCAATGTCAAATAGAGGGGAACAATCACGTCCCTCGATCTGCTGGCAATGCCCCCACTTATACAGCCCAAAATGCCATTGGCCTTCTTGGCAACAAGGGCACGCTATTGACTCATATCCGACTTCTCATCCACTGTAACCCCTAGGTCCTTTTCTGCAGAACTGCTGCCGAGCCATTCAGTCCCTAGTCTGTAGTGGTGCATGGGATTCTTCCGTCCTAAGTGCAGGACTTTGCACTTGTCCTTGTTGAACCTCATCAGATTTCTTTTGGTCCAATCCTCTAATTTGTCTAGGGCCCCTGTATCAGAGACAGACACGTACCTGTGTCGCTCCCCAGCTCCCGTCACAGCATCTCTAGGGGAAGGAGAGGATGGGAGAGGTGAGAATTCAGGCTCTCGCATTCCTGGGGAGGTTCCCATTGGTTATTAATGTAACCACTGTTAACTACGAGATGGTGACACAGACCGAGGCCGATAACGCAGCCGCTGCAGACAGAGCCAGCCCCACAGGGCTACTCCCATGGGGAAGGGCGACTCGGAGCTGGGGCTGTGAGACGGAGGGTGGGGTCAGTGACATCACTAGAGTCCCTGACTCCTCCCCAGGGTGGGGGTCGCTCTAACCAGAGGAGACGCCACCCCAGACTCCAATTCACCTTTGAATCCCAGCAGCACCTCCTGCAGCATGGCACTTTTCAGAGAGAAATCGCTGAGTCTCTTCTCCAGCTCCCCATACCCTGGCTCCAGCCTTGGAAATCTCCCATCCTCCCTGCTAGGGAAAGGAGGAGGGGTGAGAAATTGAGCCCAGCAACCCTTAAATTCCAGCAAACCTAGATCTGAGCTTTGTAGCCTGAGATAGTCATGGTGAGTCATGGTGAGACACCCGCCCTCAGCCCTGGGCTTGCCATGGGCCCAGAGAGATGGGACACTGGGAAACATTAGGGCAAGGAACCAAGCCAGGTTCAGGAGCTTTCTCTGGGACGCTCTGGTTCTGCGGGAAGCAGAGCCACCTCCCACACTGGGCTATTCCAGCAACAAGAGGCACCAGCACTGGGATTACGTAGAAAGAGAGGAGACACAGACCAAAGAGTGGGTGTGTCCCACATGCTCAATGTGGACAGAGTCCAGATCTTCAGCGGGGGATGAACATGGACCCTTAAACACCAAAAGCTCTGAGCCCTTCAGCTAAACCAGGTTTCAGAGTAGAAGCCGTGTTAGTCTGTATTCGCAAAAACAAAAGGAGTACTTGTGGCACCTTAGAGACTAACCAATTTATTTGAACATAAGCTTTCGTGAGCTACAGCTCACTTCATCGGTGAGCTCTAGCTCACGAAAGCTTATGCTCAAATAAATTTGTTAGTCTCTAAGGTGCCACAAGTACTCCTTTTTTTTCAGTTAAACCAGTAACCCTGGGTTGTCAAACTCATTCGGTATAGAGGGCCATATTGTGCTGTCCGTTATGGTCAGTGGCCCAAGGGCATCAATTTAGGACTCCGTACCCCACCTCCATTCACAGCAGGACACCCACTGCTCATTGGGACCTGCATGCACAAAGAATGAGCAGAGACTCTGCCCTTTGTATAGGAAATACAATATTAGTTACTGTTACTTATTAAGTCCTTTACTGTCACAAAGTATCACTGTGTGGAGAAATAGCCCCCCTCCCACACACCGCCTTATGGCCCTGCTATTTCTACCTTTTCTCTCCCTTCCTTTCCCATCCTCCTTTCTCTATTTATCTCTTGCTTTCTTGTCCTTGTGTGTCTCCGCTGTTTTTATTTCCCTACAGCAACCCCCTATACCCACCCTTCAAAGGCTTCACTCCCATTTCCACCTACTCAAGGGATCAGCCATGGAATACTGAACTTTGATATTAAAGTGTCATTTCAGCTGACACTCCACAGAGATGAACAGAAGACAAGGGAATTCACACCTCCCGGAGCCGCTGCTCCAGGCTGTTTGCACAATCCAAAAGGCAACACTGTCTCTGTGACCATTTGGGAGGGTTTCTTTGTAACCAGGAGGGCTAGAAAAGTACTTTTAAAACAATGCAAACAGATTCTGCACATTCTGAATATGAGATACGGCCAATAAATACACCAGACAGGCTGGGTCTGGCCCAGGGGCCATATGTCTGACAGCCCTGGTGTAACCTCATTAGCTGACAGAGAGTAACAGACTCTGCCCCTTGCTGAGGCAGCTGCTAAGGGAGACAGAATCACAGAGCCACGTCACACTGCGGGCGGGGGGAGCGCCGTATTCAGTGCAGTAACCAGACCTAACAGACCATGAGGGGAGTGAGACAGAGCCCAGGACTTACCTTCCCCAGGTGCTCCCAGCACCCTAGAGGGAGAGAAAGAAGAGGCAGTCAGAGGACTTGTGCCAGGCTGGGAAAGCCTCCTGCTCTGCAGGAGAATCACCATGGGAGCCTCTGGTATTTAGGGAATTTCAGACACTCATGTGCCATCTCCCGCTCCCTACTAGCAGGGACAGTTGCTCTCAGCAGCCCCAGAAATCCCTGCTGAGAGGTGGCTGCAGGGGCAAGTTTCTCCCCAGGTAGAAAATGTTTCTCTGTCTTGAGAGTCAAATTGCCCCAGTGCTGAGAGCCCCACGAGCCCCCTGGTGTGAGTGGGGCCTTAGGCTGGCTCGGGACCTCTGCATGGGGGAGGAGATTTCACCCTCCAAGTGCAAACGCAGACAGACATTTACAGGAGAGGAGAGAAAAATCTTGGAGTTGCAGCACCCAAACTCCCAGGTCCCATCCCTGGTGCTGCTACAGATTTACTATGTGATTTGGGCAGGGCTCTGCCCCTCCCTCTGCCTCGCTTTCCCCATTTATCCCATAGGGATAATGCCCACGACCCAGCTTTGTACAGTGCTTTGAGGTCTAGAGTGGAGAAGAGCCTACAGCAGTGGTTCTCAGCTTATTACACAGTGTGTTAACTGGGCCACAGGGGCCGGGCGGCAGCAACAGCCTGGACCCCGATGCTGGACCCCCGCTGGGTGGGGCCATCCAGCTGCCCAGCCCGGACTCCTGCCACGTGGCTGCTCCAGACCCTGGGGGACCTACCAGCAGCCCCAACCCCAGACCCTCACCATGGGTGGTGGGCCAGCTGCCTGACCCGGAACCCGGTGCAGGGCTGCCCTGGAGCTGGCTGCCACCTCCACACCCTGCCACACACAGCAGGCAATCTGCCCCAGACCCGGAGCTTGAGGAGCAAGCTGGTTGCCCTGTAGCTAGCTGTGATGATGTGACTCAGCAGGGAGGGGGGAGTGTTGACCTGGGAATGTGCCCTGGGGATGGGAGACCTAAGAGCCTGTCACCTGAGCCAGGAGGGGAAGGGGGAGGTAACACCTCTGCCCAGGAATGTGAACAGAGGCTGCAGCAGGGAACCTGCTGGGTGGGTTGAGTTGGCAGTTTGGAGGCTGGGGAGAGGAACACAGGGAACCCCAGGGCTGGGGTCTAAGCTCCCTGCTCCCCCAGAAGGACGTGATTGAGGGGTCCTGGTTGTACCCACAAGCTCTGTTGTGGACTGTGTTCCTGTTGTCCAATAAACCTTCTGTTTTACTGGCTGGCTGAGAGTCTCAGTGGATCCCAGGAAGAGGGGTGCAGGGTCTGGACTCCCCCACACTCCGCGACAACTGGTGGCAGCGGTGGGATCTACTGCACCCCGTGAACGGCGCTTCCTGCAGTAAGTGACTGGGGAACAGTAAAACGAAGGGGAATTGACGGGGACCAGGCGTGCTGAAGATTCAGAGAGAGACGGTTTTGGGGGGCGGCTAACCCCTGGGAATGTTTGTGACCAGAGAGAAAGACTTTTGCAGTAACAGGGTCCCCCAGGGGATTGCAGCGAGCGGTCCCAGGGGCGGAGGAGTCTGCAGCTCGACCCTGGCAAAGAGGTGGTGACCTCAAGAAGGACTGGCACACTAAGGGCTTTTCCTGGAAACCGTGGGAAGCTGCCCGGCCTGCGAGTGGCCAGCAGGGAGATGTACGCTAAACGCCTTAAGAGTGACCTGGTGGAGCTGTGCAGGCAGAGGGGGCTGCGCATCGGGAGGTCCACCAAGGAACAACTGATTGCCCAGTTGGAGGAGAGGGATCGCTTGGATGACCCGATCCCTGTCCCTGAGGGGAGCCGCCCGGCAGACGCAGCGTGGGCCCTGGGGCCTGACCGGGCTGGGAGGGGTCAGACTGCTGCCGAGGACATCCCGAGACCCTTCCTACCTATGCCTGGGGGAGGGGTTGGGGGAAGCCCAGCGAATACCGAGGGCACCCTGACCCCAGCACCCAGCAGGGGATCCTCCCGGCGGAGCTCCCCCATCCCTGGAGCAGAGGCGGCTGGAATGGGAGAGGGAGATGAAAATGAGGGAGCTGGAGGATCATGAAAAACAACGTGAGGAGAAACAACGTCAACATGAGCAGGAGGAGAAGGAGAAACAACGTCAACATGAGCAGGAGGAGAGGGAGCATCAGGAGAGAGGAGCAGGAGAAGGAGAGGGAACGTCAGGAGAAGGAGAAACAAAGACAGCATGAACTGGAGCTGGCCAGGCTGAAGAGCAGTGGGGCCCCGGCTGTGGTGAATGAGGGGGGACCCAAGACTGCAAGGAACTTTGATAAGTGCTTCCTGGCCCAGCGGAAGGAGGGGGAGGACATAGATAGCTTCCTGACGGCCTTTGAGAATGCCTGTGAGCTGCACAGGGTTGACCCTGCAGACAGGCTCCAGTTTCTCACCCCCTTACTGGACCCCAAAGCCGTGGAGGTGTACAGCCGGATGACAGGGCCGGAGGCAGGGGACTATGAACTGTTCAAACAGGCCCTGCTCCGTGAGTTTGGGCTGACCCCCGAGATGTACCGGAGAAGGTTCCGGAGTCAGCGTAAAACGCCTGAGGTCACCTACCTACAACTGGCCAACCGGATGCAGGGGTATGCCCGCAAGTGGACAGCTGGGGCCCGAGCTAAAGAGGACCTGCTTGACCTAATTGTACTGGAGCAACTGTATGAACAGTGCCCTTCCGACCTGAGGCTGTGGTTGGTGGACAAAAAGCTCGAGAACCCCCAGCACGCAGGGCAGCTGGCCGACGAGTTTGTGAACAGTCGGTCAGGGGGTAGCCGGGAGGAGTCCCAAAAGAACAGGCCCCCCCCGATGCAGAGAGAGAGTCACCAGGGGGCCTCCCAGCAGGGAAATAGGGAGAACCCCCTCCCAAGGGGAACGCCTGGCGTCGGGCCCCTCCGACCCGCTCGAGGGGACCAACGTGACCTGAGCTGCTATCACTGTGGCCAGAGAGGCCACATACGGTCCCAGTGCCCTGGGCTCAGGGACAAACTGAGCAGACCCAACCTACCCAGGGTTAACTGGGTAGGGACCCAGCTGGACGAGGGGCAGACGACCCAGGAAAGGGGGGCTGCCAGTTTACCACCTGCCCCGGAGGGAAGAGTACCCCAGGCCAGCTCCACCAGAGGGCTGGAGGCTCTGGACTCAGGGTGCTCAGTTTACAGGGTGGGCGCGGGGCTGTCCCTCCGGAGAGAGTGCCTTGTTCCCCTGGAGGTGGATGGGAGGAAGGTCAATGGATACTGGGATACGGGCGCGGAGGTGACGCTGGCCCGGCCCGAGGTGGTGGCCCCAGCTCAGCTGGTGCCCAACACCTACCTGACCCTGACAGGGGTGGGCGGGACCCCATTTAAGGTGCCCGTGGCAAGGGTACACCTGAAATGGGGGGCCAAGGAGGGCCCCAAGGATGTGGGGGTACACCACCATTTGCCCACTGAAGTTTTGATGGGGGGAGACCTAGAGGACTGGCCAAGCAAGCCCCAGACCGCCCTGGTTGTGACCCGTAGCCAGAGCCGGCGAGGGCCACTGCTCCCTGACCTCGGGGAGGGTACCGCACCGGAGGCGCAGGACCCTACCCTGGTGGGAAGGGAGGGCCGAGGGGCACGGCTCAGAGAGGCTGAGGCCTCAGACCTGGCCACTGAGGGGGAACCGGTCCCCATCCCTTCCCCAGCCGCTGAGTTCCAGGCCGAGTTGAGGAAAGATCCCTCCTTGCGGAAGCTCAGGGACCTGGCCGACCTCGGTGTGGTACGGACCATGAGGAGAGGCTGCCAGGAGAGGTTCCTGTGGGAGAAGGGGTTCCTATACCGAGAATGGGCTCCCACAAGGGAAGTAGAGTCCTGTGGGATCAGGAGGCAGCTGGTGGTCCCCCAGAAGTATCGCCGCAAGCTCCTGTACCTGGCCCATGACATCCCCCTCGCAGGGCACCAGGGAATCCGGCGCACCCGGCAGAGGTTGCTACAGAACTTTTACTGGCCCGGGGTCTTTACCACGGTCCGGCAGTATTGCCGATCCTGTGACCCCTGTCAGAGGGTGGGGAAGGCCCGGGACAAGGGGAAAGCGGCTTTGAGACCTTTGCCCATCATAGAGGAGCCTTTCCAGAAGGTGGCCATGGACATCGTGGGGCCTCTCAGCAAGACGACCCGGTCGGGGGAAGAAATACATTCTGGTCGTGGTAGATTTTGCCACCCGCTACCCCGAGGCAGTGCCCTTAGCTTCCATTGAAGCAGACACCGTGGCCGATGCGCTCCTGACCATTTTCAGCCGAGTGGGGTTCCCCAAGGAAGTCTTGACAGACCAAGGCTCCAACTTCATGTCGGCCCTGCTCCGGTGCTTGTGGGAGAAATGTGGGGTCCGGCACGACTGGGCCTCAGCTTATCACCCCCAGTCCAACGGGCTGGTGGAGAGGTTTAACGGGACGCTAAAGATGATGCTGAAAACCTTTATGAACCAGCACCCACAGGATTGGGACAAGTACTTACCTCACCTGCTGTTCGCGTACAGGGAGGTGCCCCAGGAGTCTACCGGATTTTCGCCTTTCGAACTGTTATATGGAAGGAGGGTGAGGGGCCCCCTGGACCTGATGAGAGACGAGTGGGAGGGGAAGGCCACTCCCGATGGAGAGTCAGTGGTGGAGTATGTCCTGATCTTCCGAGAGAGACTTGCTGAACTCATGGGCCTGGCCAGGGAGAATCTGGCCAGAGCCCAGAAGAAGCAGAAGGTCTGGTATGACCGCACGGCAAGGGCCCGTGCCTACGCCACCGGGGATCCGGTGATGGTTCTCATCCCAGTGAGAAAGAACAAACTACAGGCCGCCTGGGAGGGCCCTTTCAAGGTCGTCAAGCAGCTCAATGAGGTAAACTATGTGGTGGAGCTGTCGAACCGGGCGCACCACCGCCGGGTGTACCATGTGAATATGATGAAGCCATATTATGCCAGGGGGAACGTGGTGTTGGCCGTGTGTGGACAGTGGGAAGAGCAGGGAGATGACCCTTTAGTAGATCTATTCCCTGGGACCAGAGCTGGTTCCCCCCTGGAAACAATCCCCCTCTCGGATCAGCTAACCCCTGCCCAGCAAGCTGAGGTCAGGGAGGTGCTGCATCCGTACCGACAGCTGTTTTCCAACCAGCCTGGACGCACTAATCTGACTGTCCACCGGGTGCAGACAGGGTCGCACCCGCCGATAAGATGCTCCCCCTTCCGAGTCACAGGGAAAACTGCTCAGGACCTGGAAAGAGAGGTCCGGGACATGCTGGCTTTGGGGGTGATCCAGCCATCTGCCAGCCCTTGGGCCTCGCCGGTGGTGCTGGTCCCCAAAAAGGACGGGTCGGTCCGGTTCTGCGTGGACTATCGGAAGCTCAATGCCATCACTGTATCTGATGCCTACCCCATGCCCAGGCCGGACGAGCTCCTAGACAAGCTGGGAGGAGCTCGGTACCTTACCACCATGGACCTTACAAAGGGCTACTGGCAAGTGCCGCTGGATGCAGATGCCCGACTGAAATCGGCCTTTATCACCCCTCTGGGGCTCTATGAGTTCCTGACCCTGCCTTTCGGCCTCAAGGGAGCGCCGGCCACCTTCCAGCGCCTGGTGGACCAGCTCCTGAGGGGGATGGAGAGTTTTGCCGTGGCGTATATTGATGACATCTGTGTCTTTAGCCAGACCTGGGAGGACCATGTGTCCCAGGTTAGACAAGTGCTGGACCGACTCCAGGGGGCTGGGCTGACTGTAAAAGCGGAGAAGTGCAAGGTGGGGATGGCGGAAGTGTCTTACCTGGGCCATCGGGTGGGGAGCGGCCGCCTAAAGCCGGAACCAGCCAAGGTGGAGGTGATCAGAGACTGGCCCGCTCCCCACACCAAAAAGCAGGTCCAAGCCTTTATTGGGATGGCAGGATACTACCGAAGATTTGTGCCCCACTTTAGCGCCATAGCCACCCCCATCACTGAGCTATGCAAGAAGGGGAAGTCAGACAAGGTGGTCTGGACCGAGCAGTGCCAGGTGGCTTTCCGGGCGCTGAAGGAGGCTCTGGTCAGTGGCCCAGTTCTGGCGAACCCGGACTTTGACAAGGCCTTTGTGGTGTTCACCGACGCCTCCGACACGGGACTGGGGGCGGTGTTAATGCAGGAGGATGAAAAGGGGGAGAGACACCCCATCGTGTACCTGAGCAAGAAGTTGCTACCCCGGGAGCAACACTACACGGCCATCGAGAAGGAGTGCCTGGCCATGGTGTGGGCCCTCAAGAAACTAGAGCCCTATCTCTTCGGGCGGCACTTCACCGTGTACACCGACCACTCTCCCCTGACCTGGCTGCACCAGATGAAAGGAGCCAACGCCAAACTCTTGGGGTACTGTGCCCACCAAAAAAAAAAAGAAAGGAGAAAGGGGAGAGAAAAGAGGAAAGGAAAAGGAAAAAGGAGGAGGAGAGAAAAGTAAGAAAGAGGGGGAGAGGGGGAGAGAGAGGGGGGTTTTTTGAGTGAAGGAGAAGAAGGAGGGGGGGGGGAGATTTTTTTTCTATTCCCAAAAAGGAAAGGGGGGTGAAAGGGGGGAGAGCTTTATCGTTTTCAAAAGGGGAGGAAAAAAAAGGAGGAGGGAAGATCTCCAAGTGGGGGGGGGGGGGTTTTGTTTGGAGAGAAGAAAAAACTCTTTTTAAAGGAAGGAGAAAAGGAAAGGATGGGAACCGAGGGGGGGGGGAGAGTCTCCCTCCTTTGGGGGTGTTGGGGGGGGGGGGAGAAAGCCCGGGGGGGGGGGGGGATGTGGGGAGTGGGTGTGGGTTGGGGAGGGGGTGGGGGAAGAGGACCTTTGGGGGTCCCTTCCAACCCTTATATTCTATGATTCTATGATTCTATGATTCCTGAGATGGAGCCTGCTCCTGCAGGATTACGACATGGACGTGGTCCACGTGAAGGGAAGTGCCAACCTGATAGCGGATGCGCTGTCCCGGAGAGGGGGCCCCGAACTTCCCCAGGTCACTGATCACAGTGACCCCGCTCAGTTCAGTCTCGAAGGGGGGAGAGATGTGACGATGTGACTCAGCAGGGAGGGGGGAGTGTTGACCTGGGAATGTGCCCTGGGGATGGGAGACCTAAGAGCCTGTCACCTGAGCCAGGAGGGGGAGGGGGAGGTAACACCTCTGCCCAGGAATGTGAACAGAGGCTGCAGCAGGGAACCTGCTGGGTGAGTTGAGTTGGCAGTTTGGAGGCTGGGGAGAGGAACACAGGGAACCCCAGGGCTGGGGTCTAAGCTCCCTGCTCCCCCAGAAGGACGTGATTGAGGGGTCCTGGTTGTACCCACAAGCTCTGTTGTGGACTGTGTTCCTGTTGTCCAATAAACCTTCTGTTTTACTGGCTGGCTGAGAGTCTCAGTGGATCCCAGGAAGAGGGGTGCAGGGCCTGGACTCCCCCACACTCCGCGACACTAGCGGGGCCAGCCAGCTGTCCCAGACCTCTGACCCGATGGGGCCAGCCCCGGCCCCAGACTCCTGCCATATGCTCAGTGGCGGGGCAGCCTGGACTCCTCCGCGCCAGGCAGACGGGAACCTGGCGGGACCCAGCCCACGGTCTGCCCTTTAGCACACAGCTGAACTGGGCCTCAGTAGTGCTAGTGAGCGGCGTGCGGCCCACGGGCTGAGAACCGCTGGCCTATAGGAACGGTGCGTATGATCGTTGCAATGACACAGTCTGACCTGCAGGGACTGGCTCAGCGGCGGCTGCCCCTTCTCTCCTCCCTGCTCCCTGAGCAGGGATATCTCCCAGGACAGTCTGCAGATGTCCTCATCCCTTCTCTGGACAATGGCTCTCTCTACCTCTTCTAGCCAGGACAGCAGCTGCTGCTCCTGCTCCTCCAGAAACCCTCGCAGCTCCTGCCACTCCCAGACCATCTTCTGCCTCTCGGCTTCTGTTTGTTTCTGCAAAAGGGAGAGAGCAGCTCAGTAACAAGGGAGAACCATAAATGCACCTCTTGGTAGGTGGGGAAGTTATTTACCAGAACACAGGATCTCTTCCGCTGGGGGATGGGACATATATTTAGGCCAGGAAGGGAGGAGGGCTCAGGGCTGGGGTGAGCAGTACATCACCAACAGGAGGGCCTGTTCCCCCCAAAACCTCATCAACTTGCACTGAGCCAAACTCTCCATCCCTGCAGCCCACATTTCATCTCCTTCCTCCCCATCCCCCCCAGGTGCTAGAAAGGCTCCCCGGTCACTGTGACACGCAGACAGCCCGTGGGCAGGGGCTCTGGGCTCACACAGACTGACTCTCTCCTGCCCAGCAGCCTCCCGCACCCTAAGGGCATCATGTCACCCCCGTGTCGGACCCTGCCCTCTCCCTGGGCTCCAGTGGGGACGGTTCCCTGGCTGAGGCTGGCAGGCCGGGCCCTGCATTCACCGCCACTCAGGGCCCCGGGATCCCAGGCGAACCTGGGCCCTGGGCACCTACCAGCAGCTCCTCGCTTTGCTGCTGCTCCTCGGCTTTGGCTGCTTCTCTCTCTTTTCCCAGAGGGGCCCGATGCTCTCGTGGGGGCTCCTGGAAGAAGTGGGGGAGGGGGTTACAAACTGCTGCAAACGGCCTCACAGGCCAGATTTCAGGGCCCATCCCGCCCTGCAGATGCCCGAGCAGAGTCCCTGGGACGCACTGGGACTTTTTCCCCCCAGGCCTCGTTCAGCCTCAGCCAGGAAGCTCTGAGGGGCTGGTGAAACGGGGCCCAGGTTTCCCAGGGAAAACACAGGACCCCTTGGAGAGGTGACGGGGTGCAGCCCAACCCCCAGCGCCCACCCAGCTCCCAAGCAACCAACTTCCAGCATTGCCCCCAACTTCCCCTCTCGAACCCTCCCCACCCACAGCCCAGTGCTGGATCTGAACACAGACCCCTCCACCCCCACAACCAAATAGCCCCTAAGCCCAGCTCTGCCACCCCTTCCCCACAATGACACCTCCCCCCAGAGTCCCAGCTCCAAACAACCCCAAACCCCAGCTGTTCCCGCCACCCAGCCCGGCTCTGACCCCCGATACATCCCCCCTCAGCTGCCCCCATCCCCTCGCTCCCGGTCCCGGGCTCCTCCTGCAGCTCCCGGGCAGCCCCTCTCCGGCCGCGAGTCTCCGCCGCCCGCCCAGGCCCTGCCCGCGCCGCGCCGCCCCCGGCCCCACCGCGCTGCCCCGCGGGCTGCCGGGCTGGAGCCTCCGCGCTGCGCTCCCGGCCCCGGCCATGGCCCCGCTGCAAACATACAAAGGGCCCCTCTGCTTGCAGGGCACAGGCCGGGCGGGGGCTGCGAGGCAGGGGGCGGGAGGACGAAGCCCGGAGCCCGGGGGCGGGCTGGACCAGACGTAGCTGCTGGCTCCGTGGGACCCGGAGGGTCCCTGCTGGGGGGCCCGACATTAACCCCTCCGTGCCCGGCCGGGGGGGCTTTCTGCAGCTGGGACCAGCCCCCTGGGCAGCCCCGGGCTCTGCCCGCCCCAGCCGGAGCCCCCCGGTGTGTGAGAGACCCCGGGGGGGGAAGTGACTCTCTGCCCCCGGGAACCGGGGAGAAGCCTCGGAGCTGCCGCCAGGATCTGCCCCCGACCCCGCTGGGATGGGGGGGGGGGCAGAGACTGGGGCCCGGCGGGGGGGTCCCGTGGGGGGTGTCGGGCAGGGAGGGGAGAAGCCGGAGTTGCAGGGAGCGGGAAGTTCAATGGGACGGGGGGAGGGGTAGTTGAACTGTCTCTGTGCAGCCAAGAAATTCCCGGGGGGAGGTGAGTTAATTGGATCCTGTCCCTGTTTGTGCCACTTCCTCCCACACACGGATACAAATTCTCTCAAGTGTTTCCCCTTTTCTCTCTCAGTATCACACGTGGCTATAAAATCTGGGGCGATTCCCCCTTTTCCCCCCAAATGATCCGCTCTCTCGTCTCTCCTGATTTCCCCCTGTTCTCGCCATAATTCTCAAAGGTCCATTTAAAATCTCCTCCCATGTGGGGGGCTTCCCCACCCATTTTCTCCCCAGCGATTTGTCCTTGTTCAGGTGGGAAATTGTTCCCCAAAACCTGGCTGCCCCTGGAGTGGTGGTGGGAGGAGATGCCGGTTCTCTGCCGGGGCGGGGAAGGGAGGAGCAAGTATCCCCCATGGGACTGCCCAGATCCCGGTTTCCCAATCCCAGTTGCTGCCCCCGAACTACCAACACAGTTGCCCCCAGCCATCAGTTGCCAGTCACCTGCCCATTGCCCACTGCTGCCCCCTTCCCTCATCCAGGGAGCCCTCCAGCTCCCCCTCCCTTGCCCTCTTTATCAGCTCCTCAAAGGGCTCCCCGCTACCCATGTGAATGGTGGCAGCAGTGGGGGGAACCATCACTTTTTGTTGATGTACTGGACAGTCATATAAAATCCAGTCAAGCAATCCCCTCAGATATCATAATAATATATAATAATAATAGAAATCTAAAATCCCCTCAGATCTTGGTGTTTTTCTCTCTTGTTATCAAATGCGTAGTTTGTGACACGTTTTCCCTGTGAATCTCAAAGATTGATATAAAATACCCTAAACCAGTGGTCGGCCACCTTTGAGAAAAGTTGTGTGCCAAGTCTTCATTTATTTACTGTAATTTAAGGTGTCGCATGCCAGTAATATTGCGGGGCCGGCGATCGGGACTCCGGCTGGCATGGCCAGCGGACAGAACCCCAGACCGGCAGCGGGCTGAGCAGGGCCGGCGATCGGGACTCCCGCTGGCAGGGGCCGGCGGACAGAACCCCAGACCGGCAGCGGGCTGAGCAGGGCCGGTGATCGGGACTCCGGCTGGCAGGGGCCGGCGGACGGAACCCCAGACCGGCAGTGGGCTGAGCAGGGCCGGCGATCAGGACTCCGGCTGGCAGGGGCCGGCGGACGGAACCCCAGACCGGCAGTGGGCTGAGCAGGGCCGGCGATCAGGACTCCGGCTGGCATGGCCAGCGGACAGAACCCCAGACCGGCAGCGGGCTGAGCAGGGCCGGCGATCGGGACTCCGGCTGGCAGGGGCCGGCGGACGGAACCCCAGACCGGCAGCGGGCTGAGTGGGGTTGGTGATTGGGACTACGGCTGGCAGGGGCCGGCGGACGGAACCTCAGACCGGCAGCGGGGGTAGCAGACGGAACCCCAGGCCGGCAGCGGGCTGAGCCGCTTGGCCCACTGCCTGTCTGGGGTTCCATCCGCCGGCCCCTGCCAGGCGGGGTCCCGGCCGGCAGCCTGCTGTCAGCCCGGGGTTCTGTCCAACCAGGCTAGCAGCAGGCTGAGAGGGGCCGGCAGTCGGGACCCCGGCTGGCAGCAAAGTGCCACTAACAATCAGCTCACGTGCCGCAGGTTGCCGACCCCTGCCCTAAACATTTGCCCCACTTTACTCTAGGTTTCTATTTCTAATTGAATATGCCCTGAGATTTCCCCGTCTCTCTAATTAAATAATACATAAATAAATAAAATATTAAGAAAATGTCAGATTTACACCCTTTCTCAGATTCTTGAATATGGATATAAAATGTTTGTAAATGTTGCCCATTTCCTCTCTATTCATTTATCAAATATTGATGTAAAATACACTCAGATTTTACCTCATATCAACTACTGATATAAAATCCCTCTGATTTTCCACTTTCCTCTCTAATTTGCAAAAATGGATCCAAAATCCCGCAGATTTCCACCCTTTCTCTTTCATTTCTGAACATTGATCTCAAATCAGTTTTTGCCTCTTTCTATGTTATTATCAAATGTCAATTAAAAATCCTCTTGGGTTTGGGGCTGTTCCCCATGTTTCTAAATCCCAGCAACTTCTCCTTCCTTGGAGGGAACCTGTGGCCCTGAGTTGTTCTCCATCCTGGAGCTTGCAGGGGGTTAAATTGCCCAGTGGTCATCTTTCCCCGCTCCTTTGAGAATCATTTGTTCTCCCCTTTATCTCTGTTAAAATGTTTGCCAATGAAAGAGACCAGCCACATCTTTAATACACATCAAAGCCAGAGGCCTCCCCCTGTTTGGGGGATCAGTGGTTCCCAGCTGATAACAGGAGACCTGGCTGGACCCTTTTCTTTTTTCCAGCTGGCACGGGATGAGGAGATTGCTCTGAGTGCAGCGTGGGTCCAGAAGTATCCCAAACACCCCGACAAATGGTCTCAGTGAGGGGTTGCTTCCCAATGTGCTAAGATGTAGCCATGTGTGGGGTGGATTCACGGTGGCCATTATTTGCTAGTGACAGGGCATGGAAATGTTTTACCTATTTTGGCCCTCCATGCCTTCCATTCTCCTGTTAAAGAAGCATCCCCCAGGGCTCCCTCTGCCTGTGTGACTGGCCAGCACGGGGTGGTGATAACTTTCTATCCACTTATCCAACACTGTGAGGTAACACTGTTGCTGGGCGGGGGGGTGTCTGTGTGGGGAGATTGCAGCTGGAGCTGAAGGGGCATTGTGGTAGGAGGAGGCCTCTGGGTGGCTGAACAGCGGGTACCCTAGTTAGGTTGGTGGGTTCTGGAGGTTTGGGATTTCAGGGGTGGTTCTGATGTGCTAGCCCCCTAGGGCAGCCCTGGGCCCTGTTAATACTAAATTCTGAGCCACAGACTCCAGGTAACTGAAAGACCTCACAGAAAGTGTTGGGGTCTGGCATTATAGTGACTCTGCACAAACAGCCCCCTGTCATTTCTCTTCCCATTAGCAATTACCAGGAGAAAATCCAGCCATAGGAGAGCAAAGAACCCAGGAATGGGACTTTCCCAGCCAGATGTTATACTTAGAAAATGAAAACCAGCAGGATCTTATTTAGGTGCTAAGGCAATGTGCCATGTTTATTGTGAATACAGAAAGAATTAAAGTAAGCAATCAGTTATAGCTATAACATTTCATTCTCTTACACATTCATTCACTCATACACACAGAGTTCTGCAAGGTTGTTATAGTTACCAGCTTGGAGATTGCTCAAGCCAAGCCACTGGCCAGGTGGCCTGGACACGAAGAGGGAGCAGGGCCTTGTCAGATGTGCATCTGATGTTCCTGGAGGTTGGTTGCAGAATCAGACCCAAAGTTCTCAGTCTTCAGGGTCTGTTTTTATAGGGTTTTATCCTCGTACAAGTTTATAGGGTTTGCTTTGTCATGCTGTTCTCACGTTTGAAGTGATAGTCAATCACACAGATGGCACAGCAATGACGGAATGACAGTATGTTTTTATCTTGTTCTTTGTTTCTTCAGCTCTCCCTGTCCTTGGGGCAGTTGTGGGTGGATTCTGGTATGCCCTCAGGTTTATCATCGGGCTATCTCACCCAATGCACTCTTCAGCCTGTCAGTTCTTCCTCTCGATGTGGTGTCATTTATTAGGCTGGCACTTCAACCTTTTTATTACTCATCCAAACACACAATTGCAATTACACTCCATTTTACTTAATATTTTACTTCCTATCACATTTATATTTTATTACCTACACATTCTTTAACATAACCATTCTCAAATCATTGGGGCATGACAGACTCCAGTGAATCTATCCATGCCACTTGTTAAACATGAAAAGAAAACAAGGGAGATAGGAATGCAAAAGTGGAGGATTAACAAATCTTGTTCCTGACCTCAAGGAGACAGCAGTCTTATCACCTTTAGAACAAACTTTTTTTCTCTGGATGTTTTTCTACAATTAGCACGGACCTTGCAAACTAACAGGCCTGCTTCACTTCGCTCAAACTCAGCAGGCTGAGAGACATATTTCTTTCTAATAATACAAGCCAAATCAGGGGTCTGTACTGGACCATATTTTCCCGAAAATAATTAATGTATTAATTATTACTTTTAATCTAACACAGAGGGGGGGGAGAGAGGGGAGGGGAAGGAGAGACTGAAAGAAAGGGGCAGTGGTAGAACTGAGTGGGGAGAGAGATTTCCAGCTCTCTGATCTACCCAGACACATGTATTGCAGCATCGCTGGGCAGAATCACTTCCCAGTGAACAAGAAAAGGATCAGACAGAGGAAAAACCAGTTCCTGATTCCATATTCCCCCTGCTGGGGTGTGGCCAGTGTCCGGGGGAATCATAGAATATCAGGGTTGGAAGGGACCTCAGGAGGTCATCTAGTCCAACCCCCTGCTCAAAGCAGGACCAATCCCCAATTTTTGCCCCAGATCCCTAAATGGCCCCATCAAGGATTGAACTCACAACCCTGGGTTTAGCAGGCCATTGCTCAAACCACTGAGCTATCCTTCCCCCCTCACAATGACTCCTTTGGTTCTGCTTTTTTCTAGCATTGTGTTCAGATACTTTGTTATGGGATGGGGGGAGGGAGAAGGAAGGTTAAAAATCTCTCTGTGGGCTTAGCCTGGCAGGAGGGGCCAGGTCTGCACTGTAATAAAGAGATCAAGTAATTTCCCAGTATGGCAGAATGTAGGATGTCTGTCTGCAGGGAAAGAGCCTGGGGGATCGTGATGTGAAATTAACTAAAGACTGTTCTGAAACCCCCACAACTGCCCTTCTCCCCCTCCCAGGCTGCAGAATGACATCCATGTTTCCTTCCAGTTCATCCCGTACTCCCACGGGACAGGGGAGAGAAATGGCTGCAGAGGAGCCAGCTGAGGTAGGGATTATTCGGGCGGTGGGGAGGGAGGTGGGAGTTGGTGGGGTCCTGCAGGAGGGAGAGGGACAGCGAATACACTGGAGATGGGAAGGTTTGCACAGTCTGGTTTGGAGGGTGGAGCGTGGCAGGAAATTCACAGTGTGGAGAAAGGGAGGAGGCCAGGTGATGGCAAACCTGCCAGGACTAGTTTAATAAGTGGCCTAGATTCTAGGAACAGACCCATGAGTTTGGAGGTGGAAATGCCTTCATTTGTGAAACTGAAAATAACCCACCTACATGGGGCTAGGAAAACTGACCAGACTCCCAGTGCTGGAGCCTGACCCGACTAACCAGCGGCTGCTGTGAGATATGAAAGGGGGCCCCCACCAGTCAGGTTTGGGGAGATTCCCCTCCATATCCAGCTCCTCACAATGAGGAGGGTGTTGGGCTTCCTACTAGGGAGCTCTCCCTGGGCCCTGCTAGGGGCTCCACCTCCTGTATCAGTCTGTGGCTAGTGTGATGGATCTGCTGGGAGAGACAAGGGACTCTCTCTTTGTCCCCTCACCCTGGTGTTTCCTGGATGCTCTGAGCGGGGTGGGGGTGGGACTCTGTTGATTGCGGTCCACCCAGAGCTCCCATTTGGCTCCTCTCCCCCACGAATAGTGGGGCTGTGAGTGGGGCAGCAGGCACTGAGTGTGGGGCTCTGGCTCTTTCAGGGGCCGGTGACCTTCGAGGAGGTGGCTGTGTATTTCACCAGGGAAGAGGGGGCTCTGCTGGACCCTGCTCAGAGAGCCCTCTGCAGAGACGTCATGCAGGAGACCTATGAGACTGTGACCTCGCTGGGTAAGGATTCCTGTCCCCTCGGTTCTTGGAAGGGGAACTGAAGAGATGAGGTTCACACCACCCCCACAATACCACCTCTGCTCTGTCCTGTTTCAGCATCACCCCGACATGCCAGTGACACACACACTGCCAGAGACCCTCCCCTGCTGCAGAACACTTTGGGAGCAGAGCACAGGAGCAGTATCGCACCGTGTCAAATATCTCCTGTTTACACAAGTAGAACCAGGGGTTAGGTCCATCATAACAAACAGAAGCTTCCTGCCCCTGGCCTTATCTCAAACCCTGAGCCTACTCCACCCAAACCAGTATGTGCTTGGGGTGGAAAAGCAGGCTGCTGGAGTCAGAGTTGCTGGTCCAGGGTTATTTATCACACAGACACCCCTTGAATGCTGGCGGGGGGCATCCAGAGAGGGGAGCTCCAGCAGCAGAACCTTGAATCTCACCCAGGATTACAGGTGACACAACTCCTCATTGATCTGGATTGTACCCCAGTGTGTGAAAATGGCCTCGGTTAGTAGTGAAACTTCCTGAGACATGGAGAGTCTTGCTCCCACATCCCCATGTGCAATCACCACAATCTCTCTTCTCTGCAGGCTCTGTGGATCTTGGAGTCCATCATTCCTGAAGTCACATGACCTGATTCTTATTTTTCACATTCTGCTTTTCCAGACTAATTAGAGACTGTTGCTTCTGAATTATTGCTTCTAATTTCCCAGTGTTCTCCACAGCCAGCGATTTTCATACTCCCTCCCATTACACTGGTCTCACTAGATTCCCTAGTACATAAAACCGGCCATACTGGATCAGACCAAAGGTCCATCTAGCCCAGTATCCTGTCTTCTGACAGTGGCCAATGCCAGGTGTCCTAGAGGGAATGAACAGAACAGGCAATCAACAAGTGATCCATCCCCTGTCGTCCATTCCCAGGCTCTGGCAGTCAGTGGCTAGGGACACCATCCCTGCCCATCCTGGCTAATGGGGCATTCATGGACCTATCCTCCATGAATTTATCTTGTTCTTTTTTTGAACCCTGTTCTACTCTTGGCCTTCATAACATCCTCTGGCAAAGAGTTCAACAGGTTGACTGTGCGTTGTGTGAAGAAATACTTCCTTTGGTTTGTTTTAAATTTGCTGCCTATTACTTTCATTGGGTGACTCCTAGTTCTTGTGTTATGAGAAGGAATAAGTAACACTTCCTTATTTACTTTCTCCACACCCGTCATGATTTTATAGACCTCTCTCATATCTCCCCTTTGTCATCTCTTTTCCAAGACGAAAAGTCCCTGTCTTTTTAATCTCTCCACATACAGAATCTGTTCCGTACCCCTCATCATTTTTGTTGCCCTTTTCTGAATCTTTTCCAATTCCAATATATCTTTTTTTGAGATGGGGTGACGACGTCTGCACGCAGTATTCAAGATGTGGCTGTACCATGGATTTATATAGAGGCAATATGATATTTTCTGTCTTATTATCTATCCCTTTCTTAATTATGCCAAACATTCTGTTCTCTTTTTTTTACTGCTGCTGCACATTGAGTGGATGTTTTCAGAGAACTAGCCACAGTGGCTCCAAGATCCCTCTCCTGAGTGGAAACAACTAATTTAGACCCTGTCATTTTGTATGTATAGTTGGGATTATGTTTTCCAAGGTGCTGCACTATGTGCTATCCTGACATCTAGTACTGCTGAGATCCTGCATTCAGTAATATCCCTGTCCTTCCTGTTCCCTTTCTCCACTGAACCCCACCAGCCAATGCTTACTGTTCCCAGCTTCCACAGGACTCTCTCATTGTCTCTGGACTTCTCTGTCAGCAAGAAGCAGTGCCAGGGAGACTTGCCCTCTGTCTGGAGTCTTCGATTTCTGGGACATGGATTTACTGTCTCTGTGTTGTAAGAGGCTCCGTCATAATGAGTGTCTGTGACATTACCCACAGTACAATCTGGAATGTTGAACAGCTGTGTCCTCTCAGTTCTCCAACCTGGGGTGCTTTTTCCACTGTTTTACTGTGAGAACAGCCCCTCTTGGCCGGTTAACACACAGTCTCCAGCATGTAACTCTCTCCCAGCTACATAGTATTGAGTGCTGCTAGTCAGCCACTCCTGAATTACATCTCGGGAGAACACCAGCAAATTGTCAAGTGCCAGACTCCCCACAGAAATGTGCCTCTTGCACTGTCCAGCATGCTACTGAACAACACAAGCTCATATAAAATCTTTCATTTCACCAGTGGAAAATGACATGCACCAGCCTTGTTATCCTGAATGGAATTTCCCACAGACTTTAATCCAAACAAACTGGTTAGATAAAACAATACAACAAGATTAATGACCAAAAAAAAAAAGATTTTAAGTGACTACAAGTAATGAGGCATAAAAGTCAGAATTAGTTACAAAAGAAATGAAAGATAAAACACAAACTAACCTGTAACGATGCTAGTTCTGGTGGGACCCAACTGAGAGTGCCAATTCAGGACAAATTGCTTAAAGCAGGGCAGTTACAGCCCAAGGCTGGGGGGTCTCTGCACACCAAGGCAAACCAAACCAGCCAGCCAGAGAAGACTTCGGTTTTACCCCACGGGCTAACCACAAGTCACACAAGCAATTCCCTTAGACACTCCAATTTCCCAGTATCACCACCAGTGCCCCTCGTTATGGGGACAAATGGTCATGAAAACCAATACCCCAGTAAAAGAAAAAAGGTTCTCTCAATCCCAAAGGACCAAGTCCCAGACCCAGGTCAATATACAAATCAGATCTTACCCACAAATCACTCTGTTGCCAATCCTTTAGAATCTAAAATCTAAAGGTTTATTCATAAAAGGAAAAAGATACAGATGAGAGCTAGAATTGGCTAAATGGAATCAATGACATACAGTAATGGCAAAGTTCTTGGTTCAGGCTTGTAGCAGTGATAGAATAAACTGCAGGTTCAAATCAAGTCTCTGGAGAACATCCCCAGCTGGGACGGGTCTTTCAGTCCTTGGTTCAAAGCTTCAGTGTAGCGAAGTCCCTCCAGAGGTATGAAGCAGGATTGAAGACAAGATGGAGGAGCTGCAGCAGCTTTTTACAGTCTCTTGCCATGTGGTCTTTGCTTTCTTTGTCCCAAAGACAAGCTGCCCATCCCATGGCCTGGAAAAACCTCAGAGTTCTGTCCAGAGGCAGGTCCCTGCACACCTTGCTGAGTCCCAAGGTGTCTGCTTTCTCTCAATGGGTCAGTTGTATCGCTGATGGTCCTTAATGGGCCATCTAGCAGGCTAGGCAGAGCTGACACCAACTTGTCTGGGGTGTCACCCAGAAGCAATAGCAAAAGTCTGAAATAAAGACAGTAGAGAGCCAATACCATAACCTTGTCTTGGACACCTCATTTGACCCCCTTTATAGAAGATTTGGTGCCACTACAGGACCGTGGTTGCAACAATGATCTATACAGTCCCAGATTATGTCAATAACGTCACACTAATGTCTAACTTAACAAGCTAAAATGGATTCAAAGTAAATGTTTCTCTCACCATATGCTGAGACCGGCTGGCTTTCCTTTCTGCCAGGACTCCCCCTAACCCGCCCCTCCCGCCCAAGTTCAATTCTTCAGGAATTATTGTCATGAGGAGAGGCAAAAGTGGGGGAGAGTCTCAAGCATTTTCCCCACCTCTTTTTTTAATTCAGTCCTTTGAACGAGAAACATCTTCAATTTTCACCTGAGTCATGGTGACGGGCTGTCTGTTGTGGATGTGAGCTTCGAGCCTTCCCTGTGATGCCATGTAAATGAGTCATAGAATATAGAATCGTAGAATATCTGGGTTGGAAGGGACCTCAGGAGGTCATCTAGTCCAACCCCCCTGCTCAAAGCAGGACCAACACCAACTAAATCATCCCAGCCAGGGCTTTGTCAAGCCTGACCTAAAAAACATCTAAGGAAGGAGATTCCACCAGCTCCCTAGGGAACCCATTCCAGTGCCTCACCACTCTCCTAGTGAAAAAGTTTTTCCTAACATCCAACCTAAACCTTCCCCACTGTAACGTGAGACCATTACTCCTTGTTCTGTCAAGGACAATTTTTTGGCCCAATCCTCCAATTTGTCTAGGTCCCTCTGTATCCTATTCCTACCCTCCAGCGTATCTACCTCTCCTCCCAGTTTAGTGTCATCTGCAAACTTGCTGAGGGTGCAGTCCACGCCATCCTTCAGATCATTAATGAAGATATTGAACAAAACTGGCCCCAAGACCGACCTTTGGGGCACTCTGCTTGATACCATCTGCCAACTAGACATGGAGCCATTGATTGCTACCCCTTGAGCCCAATATCTTGTTCACACCTTCTCCCTGCTGGAGAATGGCTATTTCACCAGCTGTTTTCCTTGCTGTCTCTGAGGAACTGGTCTGTGGGTGTTCCCCAGAATTGTAACTTTTTCAGTAATACCATACAGTAAAATCTCATCACTTTACAGTGTTGCTACACATATTTTAACAGGAGGATAATATTCAGTGGATTATGAGTTTTCAGAACGATATCTCACAAGCCATACTTGTTCACTGGTTTACTAAGTGTGACACTGTATGGAATTGTGAGACACTTTATATTATTATTAATACCAATATTATAAAAGTGCAATGAATCGTGCTAGCTATGCCCTGTCAGGTATCTGTGAAAATGTTATGAGTTTCCAAGTATGTGACTCTTGTTTCTATGTTTCAGAGTAACAGCCGTGTTAGTCTGTATTCGCAAAAAGAAAAGAAGTACTTGTGGCACCTTAGAGACTAACCAATTTATTTGAGCATAAGCTTTCGTGAGCTACAGCTCACTTCATCGGATGCATACTGTGGAAAGTGTAGAAGATCTTTTTATACACACAAAGCATGAAAAAATACCTCCCTCCCACCCCACTCTCCTGCTGGTAATAGCTTATCTAAAGTGATCACTCTCCTTACAATGTGTATGATAATCAAGTTGGGCCATTTCCAGCACAAATCCAGGTTTTCTCTCCCCCCCTCCCCATCCCA